CGATATTGTCTTTGTTCCACCGGTGAGTCAGCGTTAGCCGTACTATCTCGTTGTATAATTGTATTTCTGAAGACATCACGATACAGTTTTTACAATGCATCACGTCAGCACTAGCGCTTGATAACAGCCTTGTGTTTGGGTGTTTCAGTGGTTTAAATCGCTGCTCTTGATATTGTTGATTAAACTTTGATACTATGAACAATATAATGTTATGTGAGAGGTTGACTTTAGAACGAAAACATACTAATAGTATATAGGATGACATAAACAGAACAATGAGAAGTTCGTCCAGATAAGTGTATAGGCAACATTTAATAATTAAAATAATTACATTCAACAACTCCCCTTTTAAGTCCATTTTCCTGACTTATAAGTGAATGCAAGTGTTAGAACAATCGGCCGGAATACAATGTATAGTTCTTGTCCACTTCCATATGACTATATAGCATACAATAAGCTATCGGGTCCCGTTTAGGTCGGTTTGGGTGGCAGCCTAGATAGCCATAGAATAGTTTCATCTTGGAATCTCCCATATCACTGGGGATCCTCTTCAATTTAAATGGAGTTACTCGTTACGATTCCGAACCTTCACGTGACTGTGTTTATGAACCATTGTCAAATAGTGGTGACATTAAATCTAGGAAACAATACGCGAAATCGTGCATGCACAGAACGGAAAATTTGGTCAAGGCATTAAGTAATCCGCATGCGCAGAACGATTGATTTCAGTACTTCCGCTAAGCGCTTCGAGTGCAGCGTCAAACGCGGGCTTGTAATCTAACACGCGGGGACTGACCAATGAAATCTGAGAAGTAGAAATACCGGTAGACGCTGTTGCTTGATTGACAATGTCAATCAAGAAAGGGAGGAGCTGAACGCTATCGTTCTCTCCCAGTAAATTCCGATGTCAAATAACGACGTTATTTGGACGGAAAAACGATGGTTTGAAAACGTCCAAATAACGTCGTTTTTCCGTCCAATGACCATATACGAAAAAAAACGACGTTTTCGTGTTTGCAGTGTATGTCTCCTTTCGTTTAAGTTAACCGGTCTATATTTTGTAAGAATAAACTACATGTATCGCGCATTAAGCGATTATCTCCTTAGCTACAGGCGAAGTATGGAGCTATATCACGCACTGACCTTGCAATGCAGTACATCTTATTCAAGGTGTATCACTGTAAGTGAGTGATTATCTCCTTGCCCCGAATAGCTCTTTTGCGCACTACTTTTGCAAGGTATCGTATGTTATCCAGGCGCCAGTCAGCAAGAAAGGTTCCAGGGAGGAATTCGGGTCAAGCGCATTCAATCTTTCTCCCTTCACACTGCTATTGCAACTTATTGTTCAACACGATGAAGTATTATATAAAATATGACTGTGTTCAATAAACCTTGGTTCTCCTTGTGCTGACCAATTGAAGACACTGTTTCTTTTATTGTGCTATCCAAAGATAACTGCATTATCATCAACCAATTTGAACTCTGCACCAGTCCTCTCATTTCATTGCTTATACTTCCTTCTTCTGCATATGACATTATCTGGCGGGGAACAATTGATGCACTGGAGCAATCTCTACTTGTTTTTGGTAAGGGTAAGTGATTGAGGGAAGAGCGAGGGTGGTTGGATCTATGATCTGACATGATTCTTCGTGTGAGGGTGTCATACGGACGTGTGCAGCGTGAGTATGTGTGGCTTTGACTTTTTGGCGAGCGTTCAGCTCTGGACTACACATCTTCCTAAGTCTACATTTGTATTCTGCCCGACGTTTGTCTTTGCTATGGGCATTCTGGAGTGTATCTCTTACCTGCATCCTTAAGTACGTGTAGGTCTGACCTTCCACTAGATGGTCAAAAACTCCTTTGTGGAAATAGATTTCATTCACAACTTTATGACAATTTTATGAACGGTTCACTGAAAATCAGCAAAAGACACCAGGCGTCATGAACAGGGTAGATGTGTCCTGCCCAGTGGTGTTCTTTAGGGCTATTAACACTTAAAACTACAGTAAAGCACGTTTATAACGAACACACATACAACGAACTTGTTGATATAACAAACTGGTTTCATGTCCCGGCCATTTTTTTGTTTATATATGCTGAATATGTGCTTATAACGTTCTAAAATGTGTGGTCCCTTTTGGTTCGCTATAACCGTAGTTTACTGTAAGCCATAACACATCAAGCTATATCACATGATATATCGGAGAGTAGATGAAAAAAAGCTCAGAAAAATGTGATTTAGTTGTTCACTTCAGGATCATTGATCAGTTTAGATCACAACTCATTTGATAATTATAAGGAGCCACTGTGTGTGTTAAACAAATTGAAAAGAACGATTTGTAAAACTTAGACCACCCTTTGTTCGACCTGCCATGCCTGTTTGTACATTTAACTATCAAGTTCAGGGGGCAAACAGAGATGAGGCACAGTCAACTTGATTAGTCCCAAATGCCACAGCACCTATGCCCAAAACACCAAATGCTTAGTGAGTGAGTGAGTATGGTTTAACGCCGCTTTTAGCAATATTCCAGAAATATTACGGCGGGGGACACCAGAAATGGGCTTCACACATTGTACCCATGTCGGGAATCGAACCCGGGTCTTCGGCGTGACGAGCGAACGCTTTAACCACTAGGCTACCCGACCGCCCCAAATGCTTAGTAGTTCGCCCCTGACATTCATGATTTTCTTGGTTGAATAAATTGCTAGTTCAATACAAGCAGTAAGGATGAGTTAACAGATCGTGTTGCATCTGCAGCAACACACATCTGTCAGGGCGTTTTGAGAGATGCCAGGATTTGCCTGCATGTTGCAAAAGAGTAATCAATACAACTCTTGTTTTCCGACTCTTCTCCACTCGAATGCTCAAAGCCAGGTTCCCCATGGGGATAGCTGTAAAACCCTGTGTATGGTAATGCTCGTTGAGGAGGTTGTGTATTTATGTTCAATCTGATTTGACCTCCCCATGAACACACATTGCCAGAAAAAGTCTTTGAAGCAAATGCAGTAGTAATTATTAATGACTATAACATGAAAACTATTGTCATTAGTATTGTACTTAACACTGGGAAATTATTGAGACATCTGACGGCCCATACTTCAAATGTAGCGCGTCTACCAGCCATAACTCATTTTAATTAATCAGACTGAATGGAACAGTTGTTGACATCTTCTTTGAATAGGCTGATTTATTTATGTAAACAGCTGATTAAAATTGCAGAAGATTCCACTGGGATGTCATCTGTAAATACATCAAAACCCTTGTTGAATGGAGAAAGGGACGAGAGGCCAACAGGCCAAACAACACGGCGTTAAATATATAGAGAATCTCCTTCATTATTCAAACTTTTTCAGTTTGTAGACACTAATAAGCACTGTCTTATGTGTAAAAAGTACTGCTAACAGCTTCAGTAGCAAAGCCATTAGTGATGTCATTTGATTGTGACGTCATGGTAACAAATGAAGGCACAATGGTGTGCAAAGCGTTGTGATGCAATTTCATTTCAGCCATATCTACAGTGTAGGGTTAAAGCGTTCGCTCGTCACGCCGAAGACCCTGGTTCGATTCCCGACATCGGTATAATGTGTGTGGCCCATTTCTGGTGTCCCCCGCCGTGATATTGCTGGATATATTGCTAAAAGCGGAGTAAAACCATATTCACTCACTCACTATTGTACCCTATTGTACATTTACTTGCGGCAGCCATTTTGGCATTATGTCCTTAAGTCGGATTGTGTCATAAGTTAGCATTTGATTGACACTGGTAAATTCATGTTAATTCATGTTCGAATTAAGCAACCTTGGTAAACAGAAATGAGGTAACCTCAGCTTCCATGATCACCCAGGTTTTGAGATATACATATACCTACAGTTGACATAGGGATTAAATGGCAAATGTTAAAATTTGATCAACTACAAAAACAATTACCGTTAATTCTCGTTAATATAATAAATGGACGGCCAAAAGAGACTTTACCATAGTTTTAAACCGCTCTACTTAGATGCATGAAGTAAAATAAAGTAAATGTATTGAACAGATCAAAATCTCAGCGAAATCAGCCTTTAATATAACAGTAATACAGCTTTAGACATTGTCATGGCATTTGCTTTAATTGAGTAGGTGTAGCAGAAACAAGTTTTCAACGGAATGGACAAAGGGCACACACACTTAACTTCGCTCAAGTTTAATCTCACGTCACAAGACTGGCCTGTATGGTGCTGACAAAGGACACCGCGTGGCAGCTGTTATAGACTTGGTAGGACAATCGGGCGTAAAATGGCACCAGTGGTTTTCTCTTCTGGTCACAAATACCTCCCCCACACAATAACACCCCCTCCACCATACGGCACGACTTTCTGAACGCAAAGTGCAGCCGATCGTTCTAAATACGTTGTCTTGCATTAGCTATGAACAGATAGTCACATCGCCGCCAGTCAGTCCGGGCGCATCTCATTCTCTGACGTCGATGTTGCCATGTCAATCACTGTCCTCTGTAAGAACTGTAAGCCCTAATTCCTTGAGCCCTGAGTCACCTGGCCACTGTCTGACGAGTAGCCATATTCCCTAAGGCAGACGATGTCACTGTCAGAAATCGATTCCGGAGATGCAAAGTATGACAGTACCGGTCTTCGATGCGCGTAGTTACCCTGGGTCTGCCTGTTCGTGGCCTGTCTGATATAGGTCTGGTCTTTCGGTAACGTTCATCAGGTTAGTTACAGTTAAAAGGGAGCAACAAATGTTCTTGCAATGTGGGCATGGGTGGCCCCCATCTGTATTACACCAAGGTCGCGCTGGCCTTGTTCGAGTGTCTGTCGTGGCATTTCAGTGGTGTTAGTTGTCAGTGTGTGTGTCTGACATGTATCATTTATATACCCTATCACGGCATATATAGTCGCCGACGTTGGCACACATGTATATAGCCCGGCGACAATATATGCATAACATACATGTAGCCTCAATGCGCGTGAAAATTAGAAATAATTAATAATATAACAATACCTTAGGCCAGTGGTTGATGTCACTGAAGAGAAATCCTGGCTGCGTTGTGACGGCCACTTGGTCACTGCTGTTGCTGTTGAGTTCACAGATGCGAGTTTTGGTCTCAAAGTTGAAGGACATGCAGACTGAAGACATGAGACATGCCGATGCACAGGAATAGAGAGACGGTGACCCTAGTTTACGATATACGTAACGTTCAATATGCGCATCTAACGCCACAACAGAAGAGGCGTTGAAGCAAGTGCAACAACCTGATCCAACACCAGTCAGCAATAGGACTACGGTAAAAAGTCTTAAATGCATTTCCGTTTTCTGAGAAACGAGATCGGTAAGTGAGAAGTATTAATGAAAGTTGCTGACGAAAACGTAGTTCTTGTAGATATATTGTCACCTTGTCACCCTACCTGTCCTCAGTTATGGAAAGCCATACACAATTCCTGAGTGGAACATCTCTTTGTGAGCTTACTGTGTTTGAGGATAAGACCGCCCCTTTTAGAAACAGTACTTGAGTTTGGCGTCACTTCTACATTAGGTATTCCACAATAGGAGGTCTTAGATATTCTCGTAAGCAGATAAGTAAGAATTGATTGAGGAAGGGATATAGTCGACAAAGCTTCTTATATCATGTGACCCATTGTCATAGAATCAATATAACTCAATTTTCCATGGATGTCCCATGAGATGCTACGCTTGAACGTCTGATAGAAGAAAGCCATGAAGCTTGCAAACAATGCTTTACAGTTAAAACATGGTGTTTTTTTGTACCAAACGACACAGGGAAACAGACAGAAAAGTCGATTGCAACTCTGTTTCTCAGTGATATAGAGTTTGTTAAGCTGTTGAGTTCGGATTGAGAACTGACGACATGACCCATATCACATACTTACACTAGCTGCGAAATTCCGTTCTTTCTATTCACGAGCATGTACAATATACTGACAAACCAAGATTCATTATCCCAGGAATTTAATCAGGAATTTTCAACAACGATCGTAGGATGCTGGCTCGCGAAAAGGACAGCCTAGAGAATTCGACCATTGTAGATATGGATAGTTTTTCAGTAAAAATGTCCTGGGCGTTTTCCAACACATTGGTATGATGCTGACCTACCAAGGAACAAACTCGAGGGAAATGTTGAATTTGATCACAATTTAGCAGATCCTGGCACACACAATGGGCAGGTTGCTACTCAATCAAAACTGTGTCTTGTCATTTTGTTTAATTTAGAAGGCGAGGTGGTGAGGTTCAAGATTATTGCATTTATAAAGCGACGTGAATGCACGTGTGCGTGTGCGCGTGCGCGTGCGTGCGTGCGTGCGTGCGTGCGTGCACGCGCGTGTGGCTGCTTGTACTAGTCCGGATCTTCCGCTCACAGGGCAGACGCGCTCGACCACTTGACCATACTTGAGAAGGGTTATGACGATATATAAATTAGATAATGACTAAGGGAGCTCAACAAATTATGATAATTGTCAATAAAATGAGACAAAAATTTCATGATCGCTTACGTTTGTGTTCAGGAGATATTAAATTATACATTCCCAGGAAAAGAGACTCATTATGTGGACAAAACAAATCTGAACACACCAGCTGCCAGTTTCGTCCTTTGCAATTGATTCGGTACTTTTATCATGTTTATCAGGGACTTGATAATAATGTCCATTAATACAATTAATTAATAATACATTAACCTTTGATGTCATAATTAGCGCCTGTTAAAACAATGGCCAAAATAGTAAGAATTAGTATTAAACTCTATGGTGGATTGCAGACATAGTGGTTAACTAACTACGTCAATTCACGCTGACCTTAAAGGTTGAAAACACAAACATCCACTTCGTCAATCAGCAATCAAGCCTCTCTGAGGTTACCGGATATTGCTCTTCAAACAAGCTGGGGATCAGGACACGTTTATGCCATCTATTAGAACACAGATAAATTATAACGACAAACATCCCACACAAGAACGTTTATGTCTGTTACCTATAATACCAAAATGCATCCTATTGTTTCCATGTACCTCACGCAGTACGCACAAGCGTAGGGTGTTATTCTTGATTTTGACACTTTCAAGGATTAATCAATGTGGACCATTATTTCTCTCAGTCTTAGTACTCTTCTTCACACAGTTGTGATTTACTTTTGCAATTGTTAGTGATTAGGCGTCTGCAAAGCACGGAGCGTCTACGTGCTATCGACACGCTGGAAATTGGTAGTAGTCTGCAGAATCGATTGATCCGAAACCAGTGTTGTGCCGCATCTTATAAATCATCATACTGCCAACGGAAGTCAATGGCGTGCACAACGTCGAAACTGTGGAAAACGTTGCCCGTCGCGTGTGATGTTTTCAGATGAGTCCCGATTCACTTTGCTCTCTCTTGGTAGCCGTGATCGTGCCTGGCGACGTCGAAATGAACTTCAAGTCAACATGAGATCATACCAGATTTGGCTTTGGATCGGTTATAGTGAGGGATGGCATCACTATGGCTGGCGCAACCCCACACCATTAGTGCAAGGAAGGGTCACTGGACAGTATTATTGGGATAACACACTGGCACCCTTGTTGTCACGTTTGCAAGGCGTGTGGATCGAGGTTTTGTCTGTCAGGGCGACAACGCCCGTGCTCATCGTGCTGCACAACATCCATAGAATCCCATGGCCAGAAATCAACCCGGACCTTTCCCCCACATGTCTGGGACATGATGGAAGATGTGTGCGTCAACGTCATAGGCCGTTACTATATTGACTTGTACAATATGCGTTTTTGGACTTGAAAAAAAATGCCTTGTCTTAGCATGAGTTTCTGACGATGCTACTGACGGGGCAAGCTTTTCGGTAACACTTTGTGTTATTATTATGTGACAGTGATTTATAAATTTACGCTCAAGATATAACAGAATACAATTAACTCTGTTTTTAGCTGAGATTTCCTAAAATCATGAAAGTGATTTTGAAGCTTTTATTATTTGATTTTATTTATCCATTGTATCCGATATGAACACATATACAAGCAAAGCCCTAGCATGTTGTCATTGCGGTCAGGTCAACTGGATCTGTGTGTAGTCAGATAACAATCCTGGGGAGCTCAATACTTCACTTGTCGCAGCATGCAAGTATAATACATTGCAACAACCACGACAACCATTGTCTGAAGAACATTTGATTTAAAAGGCTAATTACCCTGTTAATCCCCGTTGTTTATCTTCATATATTGACTGTCAGCCAGCCTGGGCTACTATATCACTTTCCGTTAATTACTGTTATCTGTACTATGACATTTATTGCCTTAATTGTTCATCCCCTGAGCAATGTCGGTTCATCACCCCCAGAAGTTCCATGTCCAGAGCAACGTCATTGTCTGTCCATTGTTGTTCATTACTATATATGTGTTACCATTACACTGTTAGGAAGCTGTGTATTCCTAGTGTTTGTGTGGGGACGACCTCGAGCAGGATGTGCTGCTCGTAGGAAACGTCCTGAGGTTTGAGGTTGAGATGAAGCTCCGCTCACCTCATGTATGCCTGAGCTGGAAGGTCCGTGTTTGTGTTGTGTGTGTTTGTGTTGTCAGAGCAGGTATTCCGCTCATTGTGCAATTGTTGTTTATTGTTTACATGTTGTGCATAAAGCGTTCCGGGCCAGTGATGTCAATTTTGTCCTTTACTCCCCCAAGAGTTTTCAAGTTCCAGAAATCTAAGTCAGTGCTCATAAAACACATTCAAAATTTATGAAAACAACCATTGAAGCAACGCCAGATGTCAGTGCTGTGGCCTGTTCTCTGTCAGGTACATACAATGAGACTTCTGACTCGATTACCATGTTGCCAAGTTACTGTGCATGGTGTCCAATCTCAAGGGGGTCGGTTTGAAAAGCTGCAATATCAAATATTTAAGCTGTTGTGGTCGACCTTATACATATAGTCAGCTTGCTGAAGTACATGGTTTGCTTCAGTTAGTCCCATCATAATAATTTCTTCCCATTATGACAAACGTTTCAATACGCGGACAGCCTCCGTGGTCCAGTGGAAGAGCGTGAAGTCCGTATACTGTGTCTGAGTCGGGACATACACACAAGTGCATGCACATCGCTATACATGTTCAATAATCTTGCACGCGACGTTAAACCCCATTTCACCTCATGATTCACAACACATACTTCTTTCACTGGATATTGGTTGCAGTTTTTTAATCAAGAAGTATTTGTTCTAAAGATGAATTGTATATGAATCCGTACTATCACCCAAAGGTATGATAACTGGTTCAACAAGGCTGTGTTTATCATCCGTTTGATATGTGTGAGTTTGAATGCTGTGCTATGTCTTGTCTCGAACCCTTTACAGTTAACCAATATATTCCGGAAACGGTCGGCTTGAGACTACTCATAAACGGCGCGACAGTATCAGGTTCTTGACGTTATATCAACTGGCGTTATCCACAACAAAGTCACTAAGGTTGTTTAGATTGGGCAGAAGCTGATCTCCAACCATCTTTCATTTCCTTATGATAATCACCAATTTCCTTTATCGCCTCGAAAACCGGCTCTCATGTATCAAATAAGCTCCAGATCACGGGTTATGGCATGCAAAACAATGACACGATTTCTGATGGTACCATTGGGTGCTTTTCGTCCATCTGACGGTAGCCACATGTAGCGAGTGGAATGATTCTTATTCATCCAGATTTCATCAAGATAAATGACCTGGGAGTCCTGACTGTGATAGTTATGAATGGTGCGGAGATAATGTGACCTTAGACAGGATGGAATATTTCCCCCTGAAAACTGATCGGCCATCGCCCAGCGCACTGTATCGAAATCCCATCTCTCGGAGAGCAATTTTTAATTTAGTCCGGGAAACTTAAATTGTGTCTTCAATTTCCTCCCGAATTCTACTACAAGCTGGGGGTACCTCATGCTCATAAATCTTTACACTATACGCCTATTCACCCCTTTATCACAGCTGTCTAATATCCTTCGGTAATACACCCTATCTTAACTAATAAATGGTTTCGTTTATCTATTTCAAGTGTAACAAATGTGTCTACATTTCCTAGTACAGTCTGCATGTCGTGTACCATGGCTGTGGCGATGCAAGTGTAACAAATGTGTCTACATTTCCTAGTACAGTCTGCATGTCGTGTACCATGGCTGTGGCGATGCAAGTGTAACAAACGTGTATACATTTCCTAGTACAGTCTGCATGTCGTGTACAATGGTTATGGCGATGAAAGTGTAATGTGACATGCATCGTGGAGCAGTGTTATGCTCATAATATAAGATGCACATTTAGAATTTTCTCCAAATGATTTTTTTGAGTGGATTAGATTTTTTATGAAGATAACTTTTTTAATCATTATCACGGAGTCACGTACTCATATTTCAATTGTCCGTATTAGATTTCCAACACTGGCCTTCCAACAGTAGGTACCAGTAGTACTACAGATGACATGAACTTCCTTAGCTTAAGTGTGTGTGGACTGCATACATATACATACACTACTGCCTAAAAGTTCATTCCCCTAACACGCGTTGAGAACGGGTTGCACACGGGGTGAGCACCCGTTGCACACGGGTGTGCAACGGGTGTG